CACACACACACATACAACTAAATATGTTATGTCATGAACTGAGATAATTGTTTATTTAACCAATCACAAAATAATTACTGAAAACATTTCATAAGCCAACATTTTATTTAACTTTTAAAACTCAATTTTAGTAACCAAAAGTAACAATGAAAATCACAAGAAACTAAGTACAATATGCAACCTTTGTTTTTAAATCTAGTTTTGTAAGTTTAACCAAGAGCATCTTAATATCTTTAGAAAACCTCACTGTTTCAGATACAGAAAACATCAACTTTTAATTATAACCAACTTAAATATATTATATATCATTACTTTTAAAACTCAATTTTAGTAACCAAAAGTAACAATGAAAATCACAAGAAACTAAGTACAATATGCAACCTTTGTTTTTAAATCTAGTTTTGTAAGTTTAACCAAGAGCATCTTAATATCTTTAGAAAACCTCACTGTTTCAGATACAGAAAACATCAACTTTTAATTATAACCAACTTAAATATATTATATATCATTAATCATTAATCCAAGAAATGGTCTCATCAGTGGATAGAACTGAACAAATTTGTTCAGGCAGCTATTCTTTGATCCACAATGGAGAGTGTTGGTCAAGTTTTCCCAAGCCCAAGGGATCCCCACTTAATAATCTTAACAATTAGTTTAGATGATTCATAAGAACCAATCATAACAGTTAACACATTTAAAGGTATACATACATTATACACACACACATATATACACACACACACTCCCAAGTTACTGTATACAAACATAGGCATTATATTTATAAACCAATTTTTGATATTATTTTGATTGACTAATAGCCTGAATGGAAACATCACCGACTTTAAAAACAGCATTATTTTCACCAGCTCATATAAATTAGTCCACTATTAAGCTATGTGAACCAAAAAGCACTTGGCCTAACATCATGAGTGTCTGTTTCTATATAAGCAACCTAAGTAGAACATATATTTGAAAATTCACATATAGACACATACATTAATCTGGATCATATATTACCTTTAGGTTATAACTTTATATTATAAATCCAAGGATTTTATTTGTAAGTGTCAAGTAAATTTCCAACCCCTCAGCCCCCATTCTGTAATGTTTTAAGTGAATTTGGCTACTTCCCAAAACCTAGACAACCAGTTGTTTTTTTTATGGGAAGCCCAAAACAGCCAGCAAAAAAAAAGAAAAGAAAGCTGGGCCTGGTTGCGCATATCTGTAATCCCAGCACTCGGGAGGCTGAGGCAGAAGGATCACTGTGAGTTTGAGACCAGCCTGGGCTACACATTGAGTGCCAGGGAAGTCTGAACTGTAGTGAGACCCTGTCTCAAAAAAATAAATAAATAAATAAAACTGATATGAGCACACAAAGTTTTAACAAAGCAGTATTGGGTAACTTAATCAGTTCAAATGAACAAATAAGAAACACATGATTACTTTTAAATCTTAGACGTACTGGCCAAGTTGAGCTGTAATAACCTGTTATAGGTTATAACTATAAAAGGACTAGTCACAACTTCTCAGGGGAAACCAATTAGCACAGAGATATCTTATAATAACATCAGAAAGAGACAGACAGTGAGAAAAATCCCTTCACACTGTGAAAGCAAGGACTGTTTAGAGGACCAGGCTGATGTTCATCTTAATTTTGCTGGAGCTGCTATAGTAAGTCGCTCCTCTGACAGTTGTTTCCCTGCATTAGAGTTACTACAGTAAACTACTTTTGCTAGCTGATCCCATTTTAAATGTATTATGGTAAACTTTTGCAAGCAGGAGACATCCCATGGCTTCTGAGGTTTAGTGGTTTTTGTTTTGTTTTGTTTCCTTATAATACAGGTTACAAGATAAGGGCACCACCTTATATCTCTTGTTGCTCTTTTTCTCCATCTCTCTCTGCCCACAACGGAAAGAGACTGAATCTCCAGCAATTCTGTGGGGCAGATTGACCTCAGTCGCACTCAGCGCCGACACGTCTACTGGGAAGGTATGCTAAGGGCCTTATGGATCGATGGATTTGGATTGAATAGTTTGAGGGCAACCAGGAGTGGCAGAAAACCCTCATAAAGATATTCCTTAGATTGGCCTCCCAGAGAGAGAGGCATAGTGGTGGCAAATGGCTTTTGTTTAAAGAAGGAGCAGAGTTTGGGGTTTTTTGTTTTGTTTTGTTTTTGTTTTCCTTTCTTTTATTTTCCCCTGAGCTGGAAGGTAGTGAGTGGTCATTCGAGTTCCAAAGCTAACTTCCTACCCTCTGAGAAAATTAGGGCAGGGGCCCCAAACATCAGGAACACTGGGGACCAGAGGAGCTTGAAATGTGGTCTAGGATCGCAACCTGGTTTGGGCCCAGAAAATTTATCATGACACGTCTGAGGGAGGGAGTCTGTCATAGCAGTAGAGAGAGAAAAGTCTATACCTGTAGTCCAAACCTTGACTCTTAATGGAGGCTTGAGAGGACTCTGATGGAGTTAATCTCAGGTCACCCTGGGAAAGGGGAGAACTGAAGAACACTAAATTTACCTCTCATCTCATGGAGGACAGTGCAGGTAGGGATTATAGATAAGTGGAGATTTCTCTGCTGATTATCTGTTGGGACTCAGCTTCCACTGGGGGCCTTTGAGTACCCACTGAGGAGTAGCCCAAATCAGGGTCCACATTTGCTTTTCCAGCTTTCGCCAGTTCCACAGAACTGGAGATCTGTTGCCAGAAGAAGTCCAACTCCCTGGCTGGCTAATGGTTTCAGTGGGAGATAAACCAGGAGGTGCTGGGGAAACTGTCCTCTGCTTTGAGAGTTCCAGTCTGATATGTGAGCTTTTTAAACTGCCCAGCAGCATATCCACTGTCTATAAAAAAAACAGAGAAAGAGTGTGAGCATGTGGTCTGGTCATTCCTCCATATTGACCCCTCCGTAGAGAGGATGGCACCCCTGTTGGTCACCAAAGATGTAATCAGCAACCTCCCCCTCTTCTGAGGTGAAGACTGAAGCAACAGGAGGTGTTGGGGAACAGCTGGGTATATGTGTAATTTAGTAGAAAGAACAGAAAAGACCTTACTAGAGGAAAGGGGCAAGAGGATACCAAGGAAGCATCAGGATCCAGAAGCTTACACACAGCTCTATGGAGGGCAAAGGGGCAGAGTACATGCAGTGGCTGCTTTGCCAGGCATCCCATTGCCAGTTTAAGTCTTCTGTGGCTCTACCTTCTCATGAAGCTCTGTCTCATGCTGCTCTTAGTAAACTTACTTAGTTTTGCACAGGCCTTTGCCCTTTGTTCCTTTACTTTTTGGTCTCAGTAGGTGTATATCCAAGAGAATTAAAACAGATACTGAAACAAATACTTTATACAAATGTTCATGGCTTATACAAATGTTCCTGGCTGCACAATCCACCTAACGTAGCCAAAAGTTGAAACAGTCCAAGTGTCTATCCATTGACAAATGGAGAAACAAAATTTGGTATGCATGTTACATACACAAACATTACATTAGTCCATAAAAAGGAATGAAGTACAGACACATGCTAAGACGTGGACAGATCTCCAAAACATGCTACATGAAAGAAGCTAGATACAAAAGGTCACATATTAATCTCATTTACATAAAATATCTACAATACGCAAATCCATAAAGCAAGAAAGCACAGTGTTTGCAAGGGGATTAAGAGAAGGGATTAGGAAGTGACTTCTTAACAGCTCTGGAGGGTGACAAAATGTTGAGGAATTAGAAATTGCAGTTGCATAACATCATGAATGTACAAAATGCTTTAAATTCTGTACATTTCACCCCAATAAAAAAGAGAAGAAAAAAATATGGTCTACTGAAGCAAAATTTGTCATTCTACAGTTCTTTTTAAATTATATTTATATCCTATCAAACACATATTAATATATCATTTAGAAATATTATTTATTGTCTATTCTAACATCTGGCTTCACCCATGTCCCAAATTTTGCCTGATTGGGTTTCTCCCATCTCTTTTTAAGACACAAGTATTTTACTTCCTTAGAAAATTAAGTGAAACATTTACTTCAGATGCAGATATGTGAAGACTTTGAATTGTTTCACAGATATTCTTACTCACCAGTCAAGTACTGTACTTATTATATGTTTAATTCTGCTGCCTACAAGATTTCTGGAAAGCATTAAAAAAAAAAGGAATGCTCAGTTCTATACTGAGTGTTGTGGAATGTGTTCTTAATGTCATTATTGGCTCTTAAGGATATATATAAACAACATAAGACAGCTATAATGAAATATTTAATGCCTGGTATATACTGAAATTGCTATCAAAATGGAGACAGGGATGAATTTTTGAACAAGTTCTCTGTGTTTTCTAATTTGTAGCCATACAAGTGGAGAGTTTGTGTGAAATGAACTGCTCTCATCTATGTATTCTAGTTTTCAAACCTGGAAAATAAAGACTAATGGTGGTGTCATAGGGTTGTAGTATTTATGTAAAACATTTACAACATACAGTACCAGGTGTATTATACGGTCTCAATAAAACTGGCTAATTTTCCAACATACCTAAAATTGTATTACGCATACGTTACTATCTTTTTTTAAAAGTAATAACAGGTGAATTACACTTGAACTATTATGTACCTTACCACAATTATTTATATCCAAATTTGATATAAATAAGAATTTGTATAACACATTGAAAAAACGCTGAGGAAGGCATTCCTTGGCCATGCATGATGGCATACAGCTGTAATCCCAGCACTCTGGGATGAGGTAGAATGGGAAGTTCAAACCCAACCTGGGCGATTTAATGAGATCCTATCTCAAAGTAAAAAATAAAAAAGGGACAGAGACTGAAGGCCCAGAGTTCAACCCCCGGTAGAGAGAGAGAGAGGAAAAAAAAATCATTGCCCAGGGCCCTATTGGCCCTCAGCCCTGGCTCTGATCTGCTGTGTTGGTGCTGGGAGCTAATGAA